TAAAACCTACAAAAAAAGTAAATGTGTCCAAGTAAAAGCCTACAAGAGTATTTGTTTTTCACCTTCTCCAATTTCAAGTTGTTCCTTCCAAATATTAAGTTATAATATTGGAGGGTTACACCACAGAGTAGGTAAAGCAAAATATTCATAGTTGTACGTTATACCACAGATTAAATAATAGTTATACTCCTAACTAAAAAATTTTGTTAATTACTGACCTTTTTTTGGTCACAGTAAGGTTACTGTGACCAAAAAAAGTCGATATAATGAAATTACAGATATTTTAGTCAAGTTTTTTATCTTAGTAAATTAATCTTTGAAAATTTTAATGTGAAACCAATAGCAATTATAAAGGAATGCTAAATAATAACGTAAACGTTATTAAGAGGACAAAACATAAGGACATAATGATTCCTTTTTCTATTTTTAATTTGCCATTAGTGTAAAATTAAATTTTTATACATGGTTAAAAAATGAAATCAGGAATAAGATATTTCTTGTTAGTTTTTATTTACGGTAAGATTTTTTGGTCCTCTGGTAGACGGATGAGGCCAGAATTAAGAATAATCTGAATACGTTCCGAACAGTAAAGTCACAGGTCTTTTAGAGATAAATGAAAATCGCAAGAATAAATAAGGACTATTTGCCTCCCCAGGAACGCAGGCGTCCAGACGACAGGGCGCACTCACCAGTATATGGGAGATGACACTTTCTGAGCGACAGAATGCCGCTTTGCTCCTCGAAAACACGACCGCAAGACCATTCGTGTATTGTAGATACTATTTTAAATGTTTTTTCTGTCGGGAACAGTATTCTGAACTGAGCGTTCTCCTTGAGCATAGCTCATCACATGTCATGCCCGATTACGTCACAATCCTCAAAGAACTAGTTCCCAAGGGAAAACGCACAGTTAAAGTTGATATTTCCAATCTCAAATGCAAGATTTGTGAAAAAAACTACGCAGATCTAGACACGGTACGGAAACATCTCACGGTGGATCACGAGAAAGATTTCACAGCTTCAGGCAACGGTGTTGTGGCGTACAATTTAACACCAAAGAATGGACAGTTTTTATGCCATATTTGTGATAAAATGTTCCAAACGTTTATACTGCTGAATCGACACATGAACGTGCATTTCAGCAACGCTGTGTGCGAAACTTGTGGTGCCGGGTTTATGACTCACCAGCGTTTGATACAGCACAAAGAAATACACGCACCAGGAGGATACCCTTGCGGGAAATGCCCAAAGGTTTACACAACCAGCTCAAACTTGAAATACCATGTAGAGAAAAGCCACGAAGGGGCTACGAAAATGCGAATGTTGCGCTGTCCCCACTGCCCTGAGCGTTTCACTGAACACTTTAGAAAGCTGAAGCACCTCAAAGATTCCCATGGTGTAACGTTCACATTTGAATGTGATGTATGTAAATCTATTTTCCCGAGCCGCAGAGCCCTGACAATGCACACGAACAAATTCCACACAAAAAAGACGCAATGTAACATTTGCAATAAAAGTTTTAGTTGCATCACGACACTGAAGAAACATATGGTTTCGCATACCGGCGAAAGGAACTTCGTGTGTCGAATATGTCAGAAATCCTACCGCCATCAAAAGAGCTTGAAGCACCATTTGCAAATCCATGTTAACGGTGACAGCAATAAGTTCTTTTGTTCCGAATGTGGAAGCGGATTCTCTAACCGGGATGACTTCAACGAACACGTCAAAGACTGGCACACGAGGTGCTTGTTCGACTATGGAGCAAGTTAAAAAAAATTCTCTAATACGAATTTATTTTATGTGTCCGTGTGTATGTGACTGAACTCCTCCTAAACGGTTGGACTGATTTTGATGAAATTTTTTGTGATGAAGTGATTGATTCGAGGAATAGTTTAGATTTACAATTGGACCCGGTAGGTGGGGGTGTTGTCGAGATCTAGAAATCATCCGTGCGAAGCCGGGTTGTTTCGCTAGTTTATTAGAAAAATATTGCGTTATATGCATATGGTTTATATTAAAGTGACACCATCTACATCATCATTACCATACCATTACAGCCCTTCACAAGTCCAATGATTAACAAAGGGATCTCCAAAGGAATGACACAAATGCGATTCTGAGTTTTCTGCCTTTCATTCATCGCCTTTCTTCACAGGTCGTCATTGCATCTAGTGGTAGTCGGCCAGACTTATACTTCTCTATTCGGCACGAAGCTGCTATTAATATAACTAGCGACCCGACCAGACTTCGTCTGGGTAGAATCTATTAACGTGGCGTTATTTAAATTTAAATTAATTAAAGACCATTTAACTTATCAATTTTTCGTATTTTAAAAAAAATTCCATTATTCGAGTAAATCTAGCGTAGATCACTCCTGGCATCACTCTCTCTCTCTCTCTCTGTCTCTCTCTCTCTCTCTCTCTCTCTCTCTCTCTCTCTAACAGTTCGTGTAGTTTCATTACAATCGATTTAGCTATGTTGTTTTATTTTGTAAGCTGAAATATAGATATGTCTTATGGGATTTAGTTTAATAAATATAACTAACACTCTGAGATTGTTACAATTATGTGAATTTTAGATCATTTCATTGGTGCGGGACCATTGACAAATTTAGGGTTGGCAAGCTAGAATTTCTTCTTCATATCAGTCGAATGCGTTTGTGAAGTACCTATGCTATACTTTCAAAGCTATTTTTGATCTCATTGAGTAATTTTGTATTTATGTGTAAAAGACTTGTTATGTATACCACAATCTACTAGACGAGCAATTCAAAACAAAAACGGTGTCACAGCTGGAGACCGCGCGGGCTAGGGCGCGGGCGGGTAGCTGGCGCAGTAAATATGCCATGCACTTGTATTTTCATTAACGCAAATATATAATAAAGTTACATACTTATCTAAAATAACAAAGCGCGCACATAAATAATGACAGCATTTTTTATTTATTTATTTAACTTCAGAATATATACTGAAATGTATATAGGCGGACTTAGTGCATTGGTATTAACTACCAGTCTACCTTAGAGTAGTGCAGAGAGAAAAGAGGTAGGCGTGAAAAGAAGTAAGTACAGAAAGTCTATAATATACAAACGTATAACTGAATACATATTAACATAATGCACATATATACATATACGTATATATAAATAAATGCATATATATATATATATATATATATATATATATATATATATATATATATATATATATATATATATATATATATATATATATACCTATATTCTTAGTCACATTAAACAAAATCAATGTTTTGTCGAAAACAACGTTCGCGGCTCATAAAAAAAAGGACTGGTCTTCTCGCCTGCTCGCAGTCGACTAAAGAAGTTACGGATAATTGACTGTAACTTCCTGCGCACTGTATTAAGGCCGCAAAACCCGTCTAATAGTAGATATAGAAGATTTTGCTATGTGTATCTGAAATACATAATTTATATTAACCTTGCGTTTTACTATCATCATAATCAACAGCCTTCTTAAGTCCTATATAAGCTTCTTCAAGAATCTGCCAGCTAACAAGCGCTACTTGGAACAGTTGCCTGTACCCAACAGGCAGGTTGTTAGATAAGTGCAGAGTTGAAACCATTGTACTGGTAATACTACTCCCAATTAACGGCTTTGAAATTTGAGTATTTTTTATAAGGAAGTAGAAGAAGAAGTAAGGATGACAGATAAGTACAGTCCATGTTACGGGGACGCTATAGCCCATAGATACCTATATCTATCATCAATTAGGAATCAAAATGATGATCCATTGTCACTTATGAGGACTTAGGATTTTTTTTTTATAGGATAAGGGTGATAAACGAGCACACAGCCCACTTGATGGTAAGTGGTGGCCCATAGACGTCTACATCTATCCTCGATTACGAATCAAAATGCAGATGCGTTGTCACCCGTGAGGACTAAGATAAAATGCCTCGTTTTAAGTAAAAAGGGTCTCCGGTTCTCTACGCTCACCATACGAAACACAGCGGCATTCCTATTTTACGCTGGTATTCTGCGAGAGCGTGGTCCTTCCCCGGTCGAGCCGACCCATTCGTGCTACGACTATACCAGAAATATATGTGCAGCATGGCTCTACCGCGTATAAAGGCATTCCATCTTAGTATATTATATAGCACAAAGTACTTTGTTACCAGGAAAAAGCGTCTTGTCACTCGACATACGAAACAAAGTTTTACACCATTAGGTCAAAATAGTTTCATTCGTCCGGCGATTGATGTGCAGGAATACCGCGATCTTTCATATTTTAACTATGATGACTATTTATGGAATTTGTTTTATAGAATAAGAGTGACAAAAGAGCAGACAGTTCATCTGATGGTAAATGCATACCCTGGCCCAGAGATATCTACGTATATCCTCGATTATGAATCAAAATGCAGATGCGTTTTCATCCCTGAGAATGCCTCATCTCCACTAGAAAGGGTCTCCAGTTCTCTACACGAAAGAATGTCATTAATGTCACCATACGAAACAGCAGAATTAAGCTGCTATTTCTTGCTGGTATTCTGTGAAAGCGTGGTCGTTCGCAAATCGGGCCGACCCATTCGTACTACAACCATAATATAGCTACAGCGTGGCTCTACCACGTACACGTATATTATTATTATATTATTAAAATGATAGCCACTGAAAAATATATTTATATTATTTAAATGAACTATCCTACAATCAACAAATTAAAAATGTTTTTGTGCCTACCTTCACACATGTGTTTATTAAGGTATGACGACACTTCTTTCCTTTAAAACAGTACCCATGCTACTGGTAAGTTGTTCTTCAAAAAAGCACATTGCATTAACAAAGCTATTTATCAAATCCCTGAAGATTTTTGTTTCTTTCGCAGGCGACAAAGATGTAGAGTACAGCGTTTGGCAAATGACAGTCCCGGAAAGGAATAATGCAGCGACATTTATCCAGTACACAACGGTCAGACCGTTTACGTTCATGGGTTCAACATTCAAGTGTTTTTACTGCATGCAGTATCATTCAGAAGTAGCCAGTTTACTTGAACATACTTCGACTCACCAAATCGATGATAGAAACACAATTCTAAATAAATACATTCCGAGAGGAAAACGAATAATTTTTGTCGATATATCGATTCTAAAATGTCGAATATGTGGGCAACACTATCCCGATCTGAGCGCGGTCAGGCAACATTTGGAATTAGAACACGGCAAGGAATTCTCTCCCGCCAGCAACGGTATGACAGAATACAATATGGAGACGAACGAGGGACTGTTTACATGCCATATTTGCGGAAATACTTATCATAATTTTTCACTTTTGAACACGCATATGAATGGTCATGTTGGTAAAGTGGTATGCGAGAGCTGCGGAGCTGGTTTCTTAAATCAACACCTCTTGTTGAAGCACAAGGAAACGCACATGTCAAAACGCTTTAATTGCAAGTACTGCGACAAAGTCTTCTTCAAAAAAAGCCAACTGAAATACCACACCGAGATCGTGCATAAAGGCAAGGACAGGGTGAAACTGAAAAAATGCCAACACTGTACCCAAACTTTTAAGGAGCACTATAGCAAAATGATGCATCTAAAAGAGGTGCACGGTATTATGAAATCATTTCTGTGTCATATTTGTAAAGTTGACTTCGGCACACGGCGCGCACTGACCGAGCATACGACTAAGTACCACACGGAAAAGTTCAAATGCGAAGTGTGCTCTAAGTGTTTCGGTATTGAGTCCAAATTGAGACAGCACATGCAGGGGCATATTGGAGAGAGGCATTTTATGTGTCCAATTTGTAAGAATGCATACATGCACAAAATTTCACTGAAGAAGCACATGCGCAGCCACGACACGATCGACAAAATAGCGTGGTCTACTGTTCCCAATTTGTAAAATAATGCTGTTAAAAAATGATTATTCACCATACTAAAGAGATTCAGACTAAAGAAAGAAAGACGGAGCGCTGAGTGCATTTCATGACGCAAAAATCATGCTTAATTTATTGTAAGAACATACACTCACCTACACATGCATTTACGAGTATAATCATTTGCAACCAACAATATGGTTTTAGGTGGAAATGTGTGCGTCGAGCAGTGAAATTTTACGGGATTTAGAAAATGTGTGTGCGTGAGTGCGTTGGCATCATTCGAAATATATGCAGCGCTCCGTCTATTTATTTGTTGGTCCGAGTCCGCCATATTTAGTTTATGATTTGACACTACTGCCCAAAGATATTTTTATGATAGTTTTTAAAGAATATATTTTAAAAATTATGTTTTATTATTATTATTAGTATGAAGGTTAAGTTTTTATATTTATTATATATATTCTAATAATGTGCAGACACAAACACACATAGTCTGATTTGCCGTCGCAACCATTTTAATCTTGGGGCCAAGCATGGACCCAAATCTGAGTTTAGGCGATTTGCTTCAATCATTACGCTCGGCTTACTGACCACCAGCGGAGTGATTTAGTAATTCTGGTGGGAATCTTTGCCTGTGAGAATTACAGCGTAATTACGTTATATTTTCATTAATGTGTTATGTAATAGTAATATGTAATGATACGAAACGTCCAAACTGCGATCAACAAACCACGTGTGACGTGACACTCCGTACAACGTGAAAGGTCCACTTCCAACAGTTGACTTTTACAGCTGGTGAAGAAAGACAAGAATTTTTTTTATTTTTTTATAGATTAAGGGTAACAAACGAGCACACAGTCCACCCGATGGTAACCGACCGTTGCGGCCCATAGATATCTACATCTACCGTCGTTTGCGAATTAAAATTCAGATGCGTCAGCCGTGAGGACTAAGATATAATGCCTCTTTTCCAGTAAAAAGGGTCTCCGGTTCTCTACACTCACCAAATCAAACACAGCAGCATTAAGCTGCTATTTTACGCTGGTATTCTGTGAGAGCGTGGTCCTTCCCTGGTCGAACCGCTACCGCCTAAACTAGGATTTTCTCCTGTATCGTAGTTTACATACAAACATTTCACAAGTACAAACATCCAGACCCTGCACAATTATATGTAAGCCATACAAACACTTGCCCCGTGTGGGATTAAAACTCGCGGCCTTCAGCGCCTAAAGTCATTACTTACTACTGGCCTTACTATTCGTGAGTAAATGATGAAAAATACTACTACTAATAGATATAGCTGCAGCATGGCTCTACCACGTATATATATGATAAAATCCTACCTTTAGACCGTAACAATAGACATAATTTACAAATGTATGTATCTTTAATAAATAATAAAGTAAATAAAGTAAAGGTGTTGTTTCATTTACAGCTGCCGCCAGGGCACGCCCCACCACCAGCATGTGGGCGATGACGTTATCGGAAAGAGAGAACGCGGCAAATCTCTTACAGTACACCACTATCGTCCCTTTCACTTACCTCTCTTACCCATTCTCCTTTAAATGTTTCTATTGCACTGAGAAATATTCGGAGCTATCGAAAGTACTAGAACATGCAAAAACCCATACAGTTCCAGACACAGTTGTGTTAATGAAAGACTTTTTAAAGAAAGGCAAGAAAACTATCAAAGTGGACATGTCCGAATTGAAATGCAAAATTTGCAACGATCCATTCTCGAATTTGGACGACGTTAGGAAACATCTAAGCTGCGTGCACGACAAAGAGTTTACGAAAGCGGGAAACGGAATCATCGCGTTCAGTTTACAAACGAAAAATGGCATCTTCTCATGTCACTTGTGTTCGGAAAATTTCCACAGCTTTTTCCTTTTAAACAAACACATCAATGTGCATTACAGCAACGCAATATGCGAGTCCTGTGGTAAAGGATTCGTATCACATACAAGATTGCTTCAGCATAAAGAAACCCACCTCACGGGACAGTACCCTTGCGACAAATGCAAAAAGACGTTCACAAGTTTGCCAAAATACAAATATCACAATGATAGGGTCCACAGAAACTCGACAAAGGTAAAGCTATCAAAATGTCAGGTCTGCGAAGCGAGATTCGGGCATCACTACGAGAAAATTAAACACTTGAAGGACTTGCACGGTATGACGTACAATTATCCCTGTGAGATTTGTGGCATAGTGTTTGAAACGCGCAAATCGTTGTACTTTCACACAAAAAAATATCATACGCAGAATATCCTATGTGATGTCTGCAATAAACCGTTCGCTGAACGCCATCATTTGAAAAAGCACATGGCTATGCATACAAAGGCTAGAAACTTCGCGTGTTCTTTGTGCAGCAAGACGTATAGATACGAAAAAAACTTGAAGGACCACATGAGAGTGCATAATCCTGATTGGAAATTCGCTTGCTCGAATTGTTGGGTTGGTTTCCAGAGTAAGATTGAATATAGGAAGCATATGGCAGAGCAGCATTCGGGCTGATTTGTTACGAAAAAAAAATTGTTTATTAATTTAAAATAAAGTATAGAGTCAATTGCTATATTTCGTTTTTTTTTTTTTTGTACTTATTCATGACAGATTCAAAGTCAAGTGAAAATAGGAAGGATATTTGTATGTATCAGTAAATCTTGTCGTTTGCAACACTAAAGTTTTACACTTCAGAAGTTCGTATATAGGTCGTGGTCTGATAGGTCCCAAGTCCCCCGAGCCTCAAGTCCGGTGAAATCAGAAATTGACATCACAGAAAATAGAGACCTTCAGAAGTTCGATTGTTTAACCCCCGTGAGAAAGACTTTATACGTGGTAGAGCCACACTGCGGCTATATTATGGTTGTAGCATGAATGGGTCGGCTGGATCGCGCTCTCACAGAACACGGGTATAAAGTGCCAACTTCTTGCTGCTGTGTTTCGTATGGTGAGTGTAGAGAACCGGAGACCCTTTTTACTGGAAACGAGGCATTCCATTTTAGTCCTCACGGGTGACAACGCATCTGCACTTTGATTTGCAAACGTGGATAGATGTAGATGTCTATGGGCCACAGCAACCACTTACCATCAGGTGGACTGTGTGCTCGCTTGTCACCCTTATCCTATAAAAAAAACTGACTAAAGTAGATAAGAGGCCTGCTTCTTTTCTTGCTCAAAGGCTAAGTATAGTGAGCCATATAGAGGGGAAACGCAGCCAGCGTTCTTGACACGATACCGCGGGGGAGTGGAACTATATGATAATAAAGTTACTAGTTTTAGTTTTTTTATTATAGTTTTTAATATTGTATCTATAATGAATAAAAAATACTTATTATATTTAAAGATAATGTTTAATTAGCCTCTTCGCCTATCGCTTGCCAGTAATGAAGGCAACCACGACTTTTTCTGCCACCAGAACTGTGCTACTTAGAGATGAGGTGAAATATTTGACAGATTTCATGGCTGGGGATGTTAATTTGTTCGGAAAATATAAATGTTAGTGTTTTTTTCTGTACTATTAACTAAATCTATTTTATATTAATCACATTAGAAATAGATAAACCACGCTACTAATTTAGGAATGTCGGTAAGTTTAGTTTAGCTATTTAGGAAATTAAAAAAAGAGTTAAAAATGTGCAAACAAACTTAAATAATAAGCCACTGAGGCATTGTGATGTGTTTTTACACACTATAAAAACCAATTAACTTTTATTTAAAATGCAATTTCACAGTCAAAATGCCATTGTGTTAAGTACAAATAAGTTTACCACACTCCCAACTAGCGACATCTGGTGAGCGTAAAAATGTTAGTCCTTATTTATTGAATCTGTTTTTTTTTTAATTTATCACATTGTCTTTTTTTTAGGGGCCACATTGGTAATACGGCGTAGTGACATTGAGACAAAAGCGAAAATAGTTCTCGTCCACCAGACGCCACAACGAAGAAACGCCGAACTGATACTCAAGCATTCCACTGCGTACCCGTTTAAGACGCGTTTCAGTCAAATACTCTGCGCCTACTGTCACACAGAATACGAATTATTGCCACAATTGAAAATTCATATGGCGAGTGACCACGCGAATGCAGATTTCGGAAAGGTTTTCTGTAGAATGAAAGGTAATTTAATAAAAGTTGACATCAGCGATTTGGAGTGTAAGATTTGTTGCAGAAGTATCCGAGACGTGGATACATTGATGCGTCATTTTGCACAGGATCACGATCTGCCGGTGAAATTCAACGCGTGCTATGGCGTTCTACCTTACAAGTTGTTAAAAGACAATAAATGGTTATGCGTTTACTGTGCCAAAACCTATGCGGCTTTTATAGACTTTAAGCGGCACATAACAACGCATTTCATGAATTATAACTGCGACAAATGCGGTACAACTTTCATCTCGTGTCACGCTCTACGGGAGCACCAACGTCAGGTGAAATGTCACCGTATCGCGTACAAGCCGCGCAATGGACGTGCGATGAGACCTCGAAGCAACGCGGAGATCATCTTACAGTGTTCATCGGCCTACCCGTTCAGAACGTGGATGAGCAATTTGAACTGTGTTTTCTGCAGGGTCAAGACCAGAGATCCTGTCGTCTTCCGCAACCATATGGCGTCTCAGCACGAGGCTTACGACGTGCAAGCAGCTTTCTATAAAAAACTTGGTAAAGCGTTTTTAAATGTTGACATAACAAATCTACAATGCAAGCTATGTTTCATCTCTATTGACAACTTTGAAGACTTGGTCGGGCATTTGAAGAATGATCACCAGCAACCGATCAGGTCGGACGCACAGTTTGGCGTGTTGCCGTTCAAGCTGAACGATGGTTCGACTTGGAAGTGTGCGATGTGCACGAACCAATTCAAGGATTTTATGTCGCTGAAGAAGCACACGCAAAGTCACTTTCAGAATTACGTTTGCGACACCTGTGGCGAAGGTTTCATCACGGAGTCCGCTATGATAGCTCACACTAAAATACCCCACGAAAATAGGTATAATTGCGGTCGGTGTGTTGCCACCTTCTCCACGCTGGACGAGAGGAACTCTCACGTCAAAACGCAGCACACGTCAACCCGTTACGTGTGCGTCTACTGCGTAGACAAGCCACGTTTCGCAACTTGGGAGATAAGGAAAAAGCATTTGCTCGAAGTTCACAATTACGGTACGGGTGGCGATAGTTACGAATGTACCATTTGTCAGAAGGCGTTCAAATCTCGCTCCGGGAAGTACAATCACATGGCGCGGATCCACCGCGTCATCAAGGATTCCGAATTGAGTTATACGTGCGGGAGTTGTTCTAGAGCGTTCACCAGCCAGTTGTTTTTAGATAAACACATCGCGAAGAAACATACCGATGCCTGATTCATAAAAGATCTCGTTATTTATAAATCTATCTACTACGCGTCAGGGGTCCCTTCCTGCCACGTCGGTATGTTTAAATAAAATGAAAATTTTAAATTAACTTTTTAAATTTATTATAAAAATGATTTTCTGCAGAGTCGTCCACACGCTTCGAGATAAGAGATCAGAAAAAGGAGTAGCCAGTGTAAAGTCAGTAAATCTAAAATTACCATGCTGCCCAATAAATACTAAATACAGATAATAACTAATACAGATAAATATTTAGGTTTAATAATTTTTAAAACCCAACACTCCCTTCACCATTTCGGTTGCTAAGCAGTGAATAGAGTTGTATTCCGGTCCAATCGTAGAGTGTTATCTCTACGATTGGACCGGTACCTATAAAAGTTTCTTTTTTTAAATAAAGGTGAAAAACCGTCTTATAATTTATAGAACCAGGCGTAACTTTGAGGAAATTAAAGATATGAAAATTAATTAGCAATAATGCGCATGGAAAACAACGAAGTAAGACAATCTACATAACAATCTCTTTAAATTATATTAAGGACAACGTGATCAATCTTGGGAGCAGCCAACGCTTCGTGTAGTAATTCAGAGCCATTCTAAGTTTAGCGCATTACTTCGGAACTTTGATAGCGTGATTTGGATTCCGGCGCGTTTCCCTTGTGGCGTGACGACAACGCCGTCACATAGATAAGACAATTTTCTTTTTCACGCGGACCTTTGATCATTAATATGCACCAAATGACAAGCGGATGTTATTTTAAATAAAATTAAAGTGAAAAACAAATTTACAGTCTACGGTGACGGTAAGTGATTGCAAGCCAAGGACGCCTGAAATCAACTTCAAATAAAGGCTGTAGACCACCGAGGACTAAGATTGAATGCTTCACGTCGTGTAAGTATACTGGCTTTCTGTACCATCGAGATCGCTGGAACACATCAGTGCACCCACTGCTGCTTAGCGGCAAGAATAGGTATAGATAAATGTGAAAAATAGGTGGTACCTATTCACACGGACTTCTAGACAGGAAAGGAGTATCATCACCTGGTATTTTCAGTTTGATGAAGGCATCCACGACTTTTCTGACACCAGGGCGGCGCCACTAGAAAGTGAGGTATAATATTTGACAGATTTCATAGCGGGGAAGTTAATTTGTTCGGAAAATGTAAACATTATTGTTTTTTTCTGTACTATTAGCTATATTTTATATTAATAACATTAAAAATAAATAAACAAAACCACAGATATTGATAAAAGTAGAACAATTAAAAAAATGTGCAAAAAATTAAAGAGCAAACCACTGACGCATTGTTTTGTGTATTAATATTATAATACTCTAGAAACTCATAAACTTTTATTAAAAAAAAACAACTTCTCAATTAAGTGACATTGCGTAACAAAAAACTTTACCTCAGTATCAACTAGCGACATCTGGTAAGCAGAAAATTATTAGCCCTCATTACGTGTATCCTATCCTCGAGGTGACAACACACCTATGGCTGATTTTATATACAAGTAAAGGTGAAGGAAAATGGATGCTTGTCACCCGTGAGGATTAAGTTGAATGCCGCGTTGTCAGTAAAAGGGTTATTAGTCTAACAAATGTTCTTTTAAAAATCAGTTGTCCTGTTAAACCACAAGTTATATGTGTACCATAAACAATGTTAGAAAAAGAGATATTATATGACTTGTAAAATACACCACTTTTTTGCGAAAACCTATGACTTCCAGCCAGAGTTTTATGTATCTCCTTGCTCTTACCCGAATCGGGTTGTTAGTCGGTATTAATCGTTAAATTTGATCAGGCGGCTTCCCACAAAACACTCACTATGAAATACCGATAGCCGATAGGTAGTCAAGCAGGACCCATGTTCAATGTTTATCACTTTTGCGTTCGTGATAGAGGTTAACAGCACTTTGTCGCTTACGCTTGCACTTTGCAGATATAATAATTTAAAATTTGTACAACCGACTTCAATATAAATTATTAAGAATAATTTATATTGAAGTCGGTCGCCCGATTGGTCATACCTTGATAAATGTTATATGGGACTACATGAGACGCACCAGCTTTCAAATAAAAAAAGAATCATCGAAATCGGTTCACCCAGTAAAAAGTTATGAGGTAACACACAAAAAATACAGTCGAATTGTTTACCGGCTCCTTTTTGAAGTCTGTAGAAAATGATCCCACGATACAGGAGAAAATCTTGGTAGGTGTTACGTTTTTAAACAAAAAAATAATAATTAATTAACTTAAAAAAAAAAACACTTCTGCATCAGCCGGTAAGAGTTCACTGCAGAACATGAGCTACTTCCGTTATATGATGATTTCCCTAAATAGTCAGGCTTGGCAGCCGGTTGACGATCATAAAACCAGACGTGAGCACCTGTGACCCTGCAGCCCGTCGTAGTCTGGGTATTTACGCCTGCCGCAATAAGATGGTCCTATCACCATCTCTTTTTAACTTCCCGCTTTGAAAATTAATAATTTTCAAAAGTAGGAAATTATAGATTTCGGTCCGATCTTGAGAATGCGAGTTTTCATCAGATCTTCACTCCATTTTGAGGTCCTAGGAAGCCGTTCCCACTATTCCCGGCTGGACGTCCTTCCGTGTGTGTGTGTGTGTGTGTGTGTGTGTATAAATAAAATTTTGTCTTACGATATATTTAGAACGAATCAATCGATCGAGACGAGCGACACGGGAGTTCGAAAGTGTTTATTGAGACTTCCAGCTGATTAGATTTCAAAGTCAACCAAACAAAAGAAAACAAAAATAAAATAGCGTTGGGCTCGAAAATAAGCGGAAAGTTCCAGGGATGGCTGGCAGGGTCAACCGTTTTTCAGATTTTTGTTTTTATAGAATAAGGCAAACGAGCACACAGTTCACCTGATGGTAAGTGGTTACTGTGGCCGATAGACATCTATCATCAAAATGCAGATGCATTGTCACCCCTAAAGACTAAGATGAAATGCCTCGTTTTCAGTAAAAAAGGGTCTCCGGTTTTCCACACGGTGGCGGTGAAAGAATATAAACTACCCCATATCATCCCGTGGGTAAGAGGCGACAGAGGGAAACAAACCAGGAAATAGCAGCAACGTTTTTCTAATAACGACTAAAAATAAAAAACTTTGATTGCCAAACCGCTTGCAAAGTATAGCAGTTGACTTTAATAGACTGTAACGGTAACGGTACAAGAAGTATATCATTTATTACAATATGCATCTATCCTCGATTAAGAATCGAAATGCAGATGCGTTGCCACCCCTAAAGGCTAAGATGAAATGCCTCGTTTTCAGTAAAAAAGGGTCTCCGTTTTTCCACACGGTGGCGGTGTAAGAATATCAATATAAGGGATCGAATGTGGACTGTATGAAATTTACTATTGCAAGTGGACTGTATTACTTGACTACGCTAGGCAACTGCTTAAAGAAAAGATGGTACTGTAGAACTATACTGTATTCAACTATTTACAAATGTGGCACTAATAAACTATATACAGAGTCTTCTGGATTTCTCTTGAGGTTTCTTCTCTTGAGGCTTCTTCTCTTGAGGTTTCTTCTCTTGTGGTTTCTTCTAGTGCCGCTTCCGAAATTAACAACTCACAGACCAAAACGCCCTTCTTATATCCCGTAAGAGAACGTCTCAGCTTGTGAGTAGCGTCGTAAGGCAATGCCGCGCGCTGATTGGTCGGCGACATCGCGTGATCTGCTGCCGGTGCGCGGGGTGCGCGGGGCGCAACGGGGTGTGAAGTGGTGACGGGGCGGAAGCCTTCCTCGCTGTCCGCTATAATCAACTACCCCATATCATCCCGTGGGTAAGAGGCGTCAGAGGGAAACAAACCAGGAAATGGGCAGCAGCGTTTTTCTAATAACGACTAAAAATAAAAAACTGTGATGGCCAAACCGCTTGCAAAGTATAGCAGTTGACTTTAATAGGCTGTAACCGTAACGGTACAAGATGTTTAGATCATTTATTACAACATGCATCTACCCTCGATTTAGAATCAAAATGCAGATGCATTGGCACCCTGAGGACTACGATGGAATACCTCGTTTCCAGTAAAAAGAGTACCTATCCGGTTCTCTACACTCTACACGAAACATAGCAGCATTGAGCTGTTATTTTACGCTGGCATTCTGTGAGAGTGTTGTCTTTCTCCTATCGAAAGTCAATCTTGAGCTTCCTGACATTTCCTTTAGTCCCTCTTACAACATCCTCGAAACTAGACGGCGACTTCTGTACCATGTAATTGACAGTGTTGTGCAGAAATTATCGAACCCAAAAACTGGCCAAAATAATTATCCATTTTGTTTTCCAAGTATGTAGGACTTCTTGAAATAGTGTTAGTATTATTTATGTAATCTTTCATGCACAAAGTTGTACATGTGGCGGACTTGAGAATTATCACAAGTATTTCCAAATTCGACATTCAATTATCTTTAAAATCTGAATAACTATTATTTTTGACCGTGTAAGGAAGAGTGGAGATCTTCCGTCGGGCAAGGTGTTCAGCCCGCTAAGCAGTCAACGCTCCATGTGCATGTACAGAGCTGTTTTATACATAGCGCAGTACTTCGGAACTTTGGTAAGCTTTGGTGAGTTTCGCTTGTGGCGCGACGACAGCGCCGCTATATTTTCGTGGATTGGATAATTTCAGCACAATACGGTCCAATTTTTTTTTTATAGGATAGGGTGATAAACGAGCAAACAGTCCACCTGATGGTAAGTGGTTGCTGTGACCCATAGACATCTACATTTATTCTCAATAAAGAATCAAAATGCAGATGCGTCGTCACCCGTGAGGACTAAAATGGAATGCCTCTTTTCCAGTAAAATGGGGCTCTGGTTCTCTACACACACCATGAAATACAGCAGCGTTAAGCTGCTATTTTACGCTGGTATTCTGTGAGAGCGTGGTCCTTCCCCGGTCGAGCCGACCCATTCGTGTTACAACCATACTACTAATATAGCTGCAGCATAGCTCTACCACGTATATTTAATAAATTAGGTCTCATCTTGTATTAGATAGTAACAATATTTTGCTGTTGTTACCATCCTTTTACCTCTTTCTTCTGTCAAGAAGCAGTGTATCTCTTGTTTACCAGTTTGGAATGTACGAGGGCCAGAGAGTATACAGGATGTGAGAATATTTATTACATATAAGTCCTTAAGTTAATCACTCACAAAACGATTGAAGGTAAATAAAAGATATCAAATTATATTGTAAATTAGTAATTTAATGCCTTAATATATATGGTTTGAGGTAGCTTACAATAAATATTTTTGCAAAGATATACACATATTATTGTATAAAGTATGAAAACGTAGAAACTATATTTGAAACTGGAAAACTTATTGAATAAAACTATTTGTAAGTAGTATATCTATGTTGCATCGTGACTGTAACATGGATCAGCTCGACCGGGGATAGACCAGCTTCAAATAGCAGCTTATAGCAACTGTGTTTCGTGTGAAATGAACGACTCTTTTTAATGCTAACGAGACATTCCATCTTATTCCTCACGGGTGACAACGCATCTGCACTTAGACTCATAATCGAGGATAGATGTAGATGTCCACGGGTCTCAGCATCCACTTACCGTCAGGTGGACTGTATGCTCGTTTGTCATCCTTATTCTATAAAAAAAAAACATAATGCAACAGTATTTGTTTTCTATGTTGAGTGTTGAGAACGGTAGACCCCTGTGGATGACAACGCATATACATTTCGATTCGTAAATAAATGTAGATGTCTACTGGTATATGCCTCACCATCCAATTACCATCAGGTGGACTGTGCTCGTTTGTCACCTTTCAAAATATTTATATATGTAATAATTATACTGCACGTGGGTTCGTCACTGAACTCCTCACCGTCTGTACCGATTTTGTGAAATTTTTTGAGTGAATGGTTCCCTGGATGGTTTAGATTCACAATTGGAGACGGTAGGTGGCGCTGTTGTCGAGACCCAGAAATCACCCGTGCGACGTCTGGGCGAGAAAACTAGTTCTTTGTTTAATGTGAATAACAAAATGCTGTCATTATTTATGTGCGCACTTTGTCAACATGATTTGTGGTTTATTTCAGACTAGCTGTTCCCCGCGACTTCGCCCGCGTGTAATTTGGGGTTTTAATTATGTTGCGCGAAACCCTAATTATTTTTCTAAAATATAAGTAGCCTAAGTTACTCCTCATAACATCTATCGCTGCCAGTGAAAGTCCCGTCGAAATCGGACCAGCCGTTTCGGAGATCAGCCGGAACAAACAGACAGACAAACAAAAATGTTAAAAATTGTGTTTTTGTTATAAGTACCGTATATACTTTCATATGCAATTAGTAAAAAACTATTATTTTTACATTACAAACAGACACTTCAATTTTATTTATTTGTATAGATAAATATGTAATATAATTATTTCGTATAATTTGCCTAAAAAATGTCGTAAATGAAATTTCCACAGCTGTAAGATGTCTCCCCGCAATCAACTCTACCCATGGTAACCCTCCTCCACCTCTAAGCTCTGATGCTGTCGTTTTATATGATTCTTCAAATTAAAGTTCTGAGTGAAAGCCGCGTTGCACGCCGTACACTTGAACTTCTTCTCAGCGCTGTGAGACTGCATGTGGACCTTCAAACCGCGCAGCCTCGGATAACTCTTCCCGCAGTATTCACAGCGGAAGTTCCTTTCACCGCTGTGGGACGACATGTGCTCCCGCAAACGTGACGGTAGGTAGAACCTTTTGTCGCACAAATCGCACTGGTGCTTGAATATCTTCAAATGGAACCGTCTGTTGTGCTCTCTCAACGACTTCCTACTGTTGTAAGTTCTGTCACACTGTTCGCACTGGAACAATCGCACGTCACCGTGCACCTCGATCATGTGCCGGTAGCGTAAGGTATAAGAAAATAAAACTTCGTCGCACTTCGCACACGGGTAAGCGGGCTCCTTTCTGTGCGTCCGAGCGATGTGCAGATATCTGTTGTGTTTGGATTTGAACATTTTTCCGCATTCCTTGCAGGGGTAGTTCTCGTCCGTTCGCTGGTGCGTCTTCTGGTGCAGTAACAGCATTCTCTCTTGGAAGTAATGCGCGCCACATATATCACAGATACACGTGCCGAAATGCTCCGCCATGTGCTTTTTTAATGCGTGAAAAAATGTGAAGGACTTCTCGCATTCTGTGCACGACAGCCTGCCTAAATTGAGACGAAATTTCAGGAACTCGTTTGTCATATTCGGATGCAGGAATTTCTCGTGTGCATTAGTGATGTGACCCTTCAAATCGTCGATACTGTCGATTCGTTTCGGGCACAATCGGCAATCGATTCTGAGGATATCGATTTGGACAATTTTCTTGTGCGGTAGGTCTTTGTAGGTGGTCGGATCATGGTCCATGGTGTGCTCCCTTAACTTGTTGGGGTCTGTAAAATGGTGTCTACAGTATACACAATAGTAATCGCTGAAAGAGGTGTCGAATGGGCACACATATGAGCTTTCTACTATAGTGACCGTGTTCTCGTATGCCATCATATCACTATCAATGGATTTTACATTAGGAGTTTCCATTTGCTGTGGTATTATATCTGTAAAAAGACAGTTAAAAAAATTAGAAAATTTAAACGAAATTGTATAAAAAAAAACCGTATAGTGGCGGTGTAAGAATATCCACTACCCCATATCATCCCGTGGGTGTCATATCAGGAGATGGGCAGTAGCATCTTCCTAATAACGACAACAAATAAAAAAAACTGTGGTTGCCAACCCACTTGCCAAGCGTGGCAACTTTGGCAAATATACTTTGGCAATTTATGGGGAGGCCTATGTTTAGCAGTGGAACTTGATAGGCTGTAACGTTAACAGTAACGGTACAAGAGCAAGTCTCGTACTCGTCTTCTTAGTTACTGGACTAAATGTCCAGTAACTAAGAAGACGAGTAAACTAAAGAAGATTAGTATATTATTTATTACAATATATTTAACACGTGTGGCGGCGGCGTCAGATAATCCACTGCCCTATATCGTTGGTATAACACTAAACTATAACAGGAGAGATTTCCTAAAAAAACAACGGTTGCTAACCCGCCCGCCTGGTGTGACTGGTAACTATGGCAAAATTCTTCCTACGAGACAATCTATAGGAAAGGCCTACGTTCAGCAGCGGACTTTTAATAGGCACTAAAAGTATACACTTAGCCACTGCTCGGCTGCCGTCGAATGCCATGCATGTAAAACACACTAGTTACAGATCAAAAGTAAAGTAACACGCTGTATATAAAGTAACACGCTGTAAAGTAACACGCTTTATATAGAGTGAAGTAGCATGCTGTATACACAGTAAAGTAACACACTGTATATACAGTAAAGTAGCACGCTGTATATAAGTACTACTAGAAACAAACTCTCATTTTTGAGATTATTACAGTGATTCATTTATGAGTGCACCGCGCTACTTAATAATAATAATTTATTTTATTTTCTCCCCACAATATAGAATTATTGTACATTATATTATACTGCTTTACGCCTGTATGTCAAGACGCGTGTGTGTGTGTGTGTGTGTGTGCGTGCGTGCGTGCGTTCGTGTGTGCAAGCGTGCGTGTGTGCGTGTGTACGTGCGTGCGTGTGTGTGTGCGTGCGTGTGTGTGTGCGTGTGTGTGCGTGCGTGCGTACGTGCGTGCGTGCGTGCGTATGTGTGCGTGCGTGTGTGCGTGAGTGCGTGCGTGCATGCGTGCGTGCGTGTGTACGTGCGTGTGTGCGTGTGTGTATGCGTGCGTGTGTGTGTGCGTGCGTGTGCACGTGCGTGCGTGTGTGCGTGCGTGTTTGCGTGCGTGTGTGTGTGCGTGCGTGTGTGCGTGCGTGCGTACATGCGTGCGTGCGTGTGTACGTGCGTGCGTGCGTGCGTGTGTGCGTGCGTGCGTGTGTACGTGAGTGCGAGCGTGCGTGCGTGCATGCGTGCGTGCGTGTGTACGTGAGTGCGTGCGTGTGTACATGCGTGCGTGCGTGTGTATGTACGTGAGTACGTGCGTGCGTGCATGCGTGCGTGCGTGTGTACGTGCGTGCGTGCGTGCGTGCGTGTGTGCGTGCGTGCGTGTGTGTGTACGTGAGTGCGTGCGTGGGTGTGTGTGTTTGTGCGTGCGTGCGTGCGCGCGTGCGTGTGTGTGTGTGTGTGTGTGCGCGCGTGCGAGCGTGTGTGTGTATGTGTGCGATGCGTGCGTGCGTGTGTGTGTGTGTGCGCGTGCGTGCTTTTGTTTATTAGTTTGTACTGGGTAGAACATACTATGAACGTATGTGAACGTAATGTGAGTGCTAACCCTCTGAATGTGAGTGCTTGCCTCGCAGTGGGCAAATATTGTATAGGCTGTAATGGAACCTATTTAATTAAAAAAATATATCAAAATCACACTATTGACGAAGATATTGCGTAACATACAAAAAACATAAAATTGTGTAACATACAAAAAGCAAAACATAAAAAATTTATAAATAATGGCTTCCCTTGAGGCTAAAAATTATTAAATAGCATAGAATTTCTAGAGCTAATGTCACCTTCTTCAAATTTAATTTTCTCGTTCATCCGTTGCATTTTCGCCATCACTCCACGGGGAGTCACTTTTTTCTTGTCAATCGATTTGGATTTTCGTTTGCTGGTTTTCATAGTTTTCTTCTTACCCGAACTCCTCGTGCGTCTGGTGGGCACTTCGATGACGTCATCAATATCTGAAGTTAAGTTATTACACGTTATGAATTCTTATGTTAACATAAACAATACACATTTAAACTAAACAATTTTTTTTACGGATCTTATCGCGTATTCTGGATGTCGACAAATACGCCACCTACCGGGTCCAATTGTATATCTAAATCATCCTCTTATCAACTTAATTACACACACAAAATGTCATCAAAATTGGTCCAACCGTGTAGGAGGAGTTTAGTCACATACACACGAAGGGAAGAAATATAATATACTAGCTTACCCGGCCCGGCATATGTTGTTTTGCCATATACATTAAAAATTGCTATTAAAAAACAGGGGTTGATCATAGAAGGGTGAAAATTTGAAGTTTTATGCATTTTTCAATGCTAAATCATAATAAAATAAAAATAAATTTTTTTATCAAAAAAAAATATTTAGGGGTGGGTCAAGGGTGACCATTTAGGGGTTTGAAAAATAGATGTTGACCGATTCTCAGACCTACCCGATATGCACACAAAATTTCATACAAATCGGTTGAGTAGTTTCGCGGTGTTTGTTACCAAACTCCTCCAAAAGGGCACGAAAATTTTATATATTAGATAATGTGCATGTATTATCCATATAAACCTTCCTATTGAATCATTCTGTCTATTGATGGAAACCGCATCAAATCCGTGGCGTAGTTTAAAAGATCTAAGGCTCAATTTGCATTGCGGCAGAATGGAATGGAAGCGAATTTTTAACGAAATTGTACATAGTAAAATCGGGGGGCACGGCAGTGCCCCCGCCAAGTCGAGCGCGAAGCGAACACTGCCGTACCATCCTTTACTGGAACCATTTCGCCGCATTTTCAGGCCCCTATTTGAGAACCTCCGGATAATACCAGAACGCAGAAATTTTCGTCACCCAGTAAGCTATAATCACATACTTAAAATCCAAAATTTCAAGTCTGTAGGTCATTTAGTTCCGAAGTTAAGCGAAAGCAAAGTTTCGCATTTATGACACTCACTCACTCATGATCATCAGAATAGAACTAGTACTTCCCATAAACTCAGAGAGCTGAAATTTGGTACAGAGTTAGGGTTTAATGGCCACATAAAGGGAAAACTATAAAAACAAGGATAATCGAAGATCTGGAGTACCTGGTGACCCTGATTAGAAAACACAAGAGCCCAACCAAACTATTAGAAGAGATCGACATACCGCCTTTACAAAAATATTCAACTTGGTGGGCGGCTTCATTTGATGTTAAAAATCGAAGGTCTGAAGTATCTGATGAAGAACCCTCAGCTGGTCTCAGATGTATTAGAGATATGGTAATGCCCCCTTCTACTATTGGTACATAAAAAAAATACGTGTACAGAGAACAAATCCCAATCTGTGTGGCGTATGCCCTAACAATTCACAAGAGCCAAGGTCTAAGTCTAAAAAATGCCCTCATGGACATTGGCACCTCCATATTCTCTTGTGGCCAAGCCTACGTGGCGCTTTCACGAGTAACCAATCTTCATGGGGAGAGTATAAAAGCTCAAGCTTCAGCGATCACCGAATACAACCGGCTTAGACGTAAATACCGCGCCGGTCTTTCAGAAATTAAACCGTCTAAACCGTCTAAAAGGCTAAATAATGAACGCGAATGGGCAATACGAAAAACTGTTGCTACTGTATAAGAATCAGAACCGGAAAAAAAGAATAGAAAGATTTGTAATAATAAAAAAACTACTCCTAAAAAGAAAAAAAATGTGTCAAATAAGAAAATCTAATAAAATAAATCAATATGCCCACGTTTCTACAAAAAGCAGTGAAATCCCACCAAAAACATTCTGTAAAAAACTAGCCAAGTCTCGATGGAGCTGCTTGTTTATCTCTAAAAAGTAATGAAATCTAGACAAAGTCGTGCCAAGTCTAAGGTTCCTTACTGCGATTTCTTTATTATTATAGTTAATGTTGTGTGACTTGGCCGTTGAAGGGTACACAAGGGTACAAAACCAGGTGCTACATTGCATACACACCATTGCACCAATCTGTCGCCAGAATCGCTACCCATTGACGATGGAAAATTGCCACTTGGAAAACGTTGATTGAATAACCAGTCAATTGTAGGCTTGATAAAGCTGCGTATTTCAATAATACTTTTGTATAGGCGAGCCTGAAACAAACAGTATAAAAAATTATTTCCAGTACAGGCGGACTTCTAATCATTGATAGAAGTCCGTTTGTACGTCTATTTTATGTTAGATCGGTGGTCGATTTGACGCTCCAAAAAGAAGAGAGCAGAAGTCAGCATTGTCAATGCATGTGTTGCACAATCAACAACCGTCTAAAATGAGACACTAGCGTCCAATTACCAATACCACTATGGGCTATTATCTCGCTTAACAAACATAGGTAGCTGCAACTGATATAACATTACGTGTAAACATAATTACGTGCAACATTACGTGTAAACGCAACTTTATCAAGCTTACAATTGACTGGTTATTCAATCAACGTTTCCCAAGTGGCAATTTTCCATCGTCAATGGGTAGCGGTTCTGGCGACAGATTGGTGCAATGGTGTGTATGCAATGTAGCACCTGGTTTTGTACCCTTGTGTACCCTTCAACGGCCAAGTCACACAACATTAACTATAATAATAAAGAAATCGCAGTAAGGAACCTTAGACTTGGCACGACTTTGTCTAGATTTCATTACTTTTTAGAGATAAACAAGCAGCTCCATCGAGACTTGGCTAGTTTTTTACAGAATGTTTTTGGTGGGATGAATTTTATTCTAAGGGTGTAACATGCAAACTATATATGAGCCATACAAAAATTCGCTTCCGTTCCATTCTGCCGCAATGTAAATTGAGCCTAAGCGTACACACGACGGGAAGCGACTTTGTTTTATACTATGTAGAGATTTATATTCTTGATGTTTCCAGTATTCAACAGCACCCATGGTCATGGGGGATTTAGGTTTTCGACGTCCCAATGTCATGGTTAACCACGGCTACCTTAAGTTTAAAATCATCATCGGAAATAAGTAATTTTAAACGAAAGTTAGTGAGATAAAATAATCGGACTAACAAACGTTGCTCGCTGTACAATCTTAAGCAGTCGGGGGTGTCGCGTTCCACGCTTGTCTCGTGTTATTATGCACACGTAATACAGTTTGAATACTAAATTCTACTAATTAAGCTGGTATCTGACAATGAAAAAAGATTTAAGTAGCATACCATTTGTGATATCATCAGAAATGTCATGATCATCTTCCAAAGGTTCCATAATAGATTCCTTCTCTTCCTTCACATCTAATTCAAGTTTGATATCATCTTTCGATTCACCATCTGTAAAAAAAAAGCTAAGAATGAGTTATCCAATTAAAAAAATTGTTTATCGATCTAATTTCGGTTACAGCAGCCAGTCTCTACATAGAATGACAGAGGATCAGGATAGGATTATAGTCTCTATTCCCTCACTCTTATAGCCCAATGGGACAGCGATACAATTTTTTTTAGATTTAGAGTGACAAGCGAGCACAAAACCCATCTGATGTTAAGTGGATGCTGTGGCCCAGACATTTACTTCTATCCTCGAATAAGAAAGATAAGATTTTTAACGTGGTAGAGCCATGCTGCAGCTATATTAGTAGTATAGTTGTAACACGAATGGGTTGGCTCGACCGGGGAAGGACCACGCTCTCACAGAATACCAGCGTTAAAAAGCAGCTTAACTGCTTTTTGACGCTGGTATTCTGTGAGACATGATTGTAGCTCATCAAAATCCAGTGTCGAAAATAGACACTTCCATAGACCGTATAAAGCGCGGCCTTTAGCAACTGGTTTAAATTATTTTAACCGACTTTAAAAAGGAGGAGGTACTCAATTCGACTGTATTTTTACGTGGTAGAGCCATGCTGCAGCTATGTTATGGTTGTAGCACAAATGGGTCGGCTCAACCGGAGAAGAACCACGTTCTCACAGAATACCAGCGTAAAATAATAGCTTAACGCTGATGTGTTTCGTATGGTGAGTGTAGAGAACCGGAGACCCTTTTCACTGGAAACGAGGCATTCCATCTTAGTCCTCATGGGTGACAACGCATCTGCATCTTGATTCGCAAACGAGGATAGATGTAGATGTCTAAGAGCCACAACAACCACTTACCATCAGGTGGACTGTGTGCTCGCTTGTTACCCTTATCCTATAAAAAAAATACAAAATTTATATCAAAATACACATACAAAACAATTACACGGCAAAATCTTTTATATTACTAGCTGGTTCCCAACGAGTTGCTGCCGCAGAAGAAATAATTGTGGAAATATTGTTTTAAACTTGGAACAGTTATATTGTTTAATTAGGAACGATAATACATTCATTGAAGTTGAATGTTATATAACATTCAAATAAATTTGTCGGTACAATACGCGCGCCACGTACATTAAGTTATTGTACTATGCCTATAACCTTCGCACAAGTGCAAGCAATAAGTTGACAAAGTTCTACCACAATCTGATAAACAGTATGGCAGCGCATAAAATACGAACAAGAAACAAATTTTGATATATTAGGTAATCTTTTATTTACTACATAGCAAATTACCATCATTATGCAAATAAATCTTGGCTTTTAAGAGCAACTCCTCACATCGGAGCACCTGCTGCCTGAAAGCGCTAGCTTCCCGTAGCCGGCAGACACAAGTTGCACATATAAGACGCTCCACAGGTGCACCTTCTAGATGTGAGAGCTGGAAAAGGAAATTGTTTTAAATTTACGTTGCTCTAATAACAGATAGAGTAATGAGTTGGGAGGATATTATAGGTAATCATTATTCATACATTCATTACAGCCCTTCACAAGTCCACTGCTGAACATAGGCCTCCCCCAAGGAATGCTATAAAGCATGGTCATGAGCCACCAGCGACTTCCATTGACTTCCTGCATGTCTTACTAGGTCGTCAATCCATCTATTTTTATTTATTTCAACTAACAACTATTATGACAGGAAAACTCTAATGCAACAGTGTAGTTCTTTTCATGCATAACAAAACTGTGGCCATTAACTGTAATAAATTATAAAGAATCCCACCCTAGTGAATTCACCAAAGGTGCAATAGAATAGGTCAATATCCTCAGCCATTCTTCTATTAAGAATGTGTTGCATTAAAGACGCCTTGTCAGCACGTCCTTCTGTCCGTCTGTTTGTCTGTCGGCAGACTGAATCTCATGATCCGCAATAGGTAGACAGTTGAAATTTTCACAGAATGTTTATTTCTGTTGCCACAATAACAACAAATAATAAAAATAAATTAAATCTTAAAGGGGGCTCCCATACTAGAAACCTGTGTGATGGAACAGAACCCTTCATGTCCAACTCGCACTTGGCCAGTTGTTTTTAATCTATCTTTTTTCTTTTTTAGTCTAGTGATAATAATAAATTGCAGATCATGTGGTCCAGGATTGGACTAAAAATCAGTAATTGGGTTTTTCTGTAGAGAAATTCTCAGTAGCTGCCCGGAGTCAGGAAGTTAGTGGTATTTTACTCCCTGCCTCGTAAAGCATGTCCAGCCCTTGGTTATGTGATCTCCATCTGTTTATGTAGGATTACTGTCGGCTTAGCTTTCCATTTACTCCCATCGAGTTGGCGGTTGATAAGTATTTTTACAGAAAAGTTACACTATTATAAGCACACACACAAAGTTACAATATGCAGAAGCGCGTAATTTTTGAGAAAAAAGTTATTGAAAATCAATTATTCTTGCATTGTTTATATCTAATTCTACCATAAAATAGACGCCATTTTGTAATGTCATTGTAGTCAGTAGGGATGTCGATTCTTTCCAAAAAAGGTCGATTTTTAAATCGATTCAAATCCTAAGCTGATGTATCGATTCATAAAAAATCGATTTCTAAAATATCTATATTTTTTTATGTTTGCATTTATAATGTAAATATAATTCCATTATATGAAAAACAAGAAAGATACCATAACAAAAGATCTCTTATTGAAATTTGTTTTATTTCAACAGTACCAATTAGGGCAGATAACAAATAAAATAGGTTAGGTTCAACTTATGTCAAAGAACCGAATTGATTGACCCCGACTCCACCTGGTACGAGTCTGTCCTACCCCTAGAGTGGTTTTATAGAGCCGGAGGCGCGTAGGGGGAGCAGCCTCCGCCTGCTGTAACAAATCGTAGGCATCGGACGAGCCGGAGCTGCTGAGGCTGGTCGCCAAAGGCGACCAACAAGCCGAAGCTGCGGAGGCGAGGAGGGATGCCTGCGAATTGTTACGCTAAGGCGTAGAGGCTGCTCTTCCCGCAGCGCCAGAGACGTAGCAGTTTCAAAATAGATACAGAAATCCTTCTGAATCAGTCCCCCTATATTTTATGATGAAGGGGACTTTTTTCTCATAAAATGGATTTATATTTACATTATAAATGCAAACATGAAAAAAATATAGATATTTTAGAAATCGATTTTTTGGGACTCGATACATCAGCTTACAATTCGAATCTATTTAAAAAATCGATATTTTTCGGAAAGAATCGACATCCCTACTGACAATGACAATAAAAAAATGGCGTCAGTTTTATTGTAGGATTAGACATAAACAATGTAAGAATAATTGATTTTCAATAACTTTTTTCTCAAAAATTACGCGCTTCCGCATATTGTAACTTTGTGTGTGGGCTTATAATAGTGTAACTTTTCTGTAAAAATATGTATCAACCCTCAACTCGATGGGAGTAAATGGAAAGTCATACCTTACTGTCCCTTCTGACAATAGAAGTAAGGGAATAGAGAGTGCAACTGTGCTTAAGAAAAAACTGGTGCACTTTCCTATCCTGCGCAGATGGCTAGTCCCCATTGAGACAGGCCGCCATGGCCAAAATTCGGTCTAGAGGACATTACTTATTACATTACTTATTACATTTTTTTATATTAAAATAGAGTGAAATAAATTCCTGAAATTATGTTGCAAGAATAGCGGTGGATAATAATCCTTTTGCAAAACGGAACGCTCTTCTTTAAGACTACGACTTTTGTTAAGATTAACTCACAAAGGCGACTTTTATATATATCTATAGCAAAACGAAAACAACAAATTACTACTACTTACTAAGAGTCCAAAACAATCCACAAACATATCAGAATAAATTTCTTTCTGTCCCTGCCATTCGTATTCTACATTAAGTAAACGACACTTCTTTAAAGCACCACAACAGCGGCACAAACCAGGGTCAATAATCGGTCCCTTACGATTATTGGCACTCATTATGATAAATATAAAAGAATTTCCTACATGATTTTCTAATTATTTAGTTTTTGATTCTGCTTTTAGTACCTAAACAAAACAATGTAAATGTATTGATAAAATTTACTCTGTGGGACGCAATTTGACACTTGATATTGACAGTTACTAGTCTATGACTTTGTGTCAAATTGACAGCAAACCATAGATGTTTATCCTGAGTTTTTTTATTACAACTTTTAGCTTGGATGCTAGTCTTTTAAGCCATGTCTTCATTTATCTCAGTATCAAGTGATAATAATCCGTTATAGTACACTGCTTCACAATATTTTTATGTGTCACATTGCGTAGTTTTTGAACTTAATTTTAAATTCAGAACCAAAGATTGATATGCGTATACTCAGCTAAGTTTTTCTAAGTAAAGCCTGAGCAAAGTCAAATTAAGGTCTATAGATCACATCCATAGAGTCCACAGAGTTCACACCACTCTTAGACTATGAATAGCTGATTTGAAACCATGGACGTATCCAAAGCCCTTCAAAGTCCACTGCTGAAGGCACGGAATATCAGAATACAGTCCAAAGGTACGCCATCAAACCGTATATCAAAACTCCATCTAGTGGGCTATACACTTCACACGAGCTTGCCTCTCGAGAACCTTACTTCCCCATCAGTTATCAGTTCTTCAAGTTATGGTCGGCATATTGCTACTTTCTGTTTAGTTTACCGATTCGATGTTTATACTTAGTAGTTTTATATTTACATCGACACATCGGCATATTATTATATATATTTATGTAAGTAACGTAGACACATATTAGAAGGTAAATTGAACTATCTCAGCATAACAAAAGCCTATACACTCTTGCCCTTCGTTCGCTCAGATTGTAATCGAACGGAAAGACGACGTCGGAAAATTATTTCACTCCTTTGCTGTACGCATTACAAAAGGCGAAGCATGCAGTTTGGTTTGAATGTGTGGAATAGTTTAACATTGATATATAATATGACACACATACACAATAATTATATAAGTAGGACATTGCCTTTTCAATTCAAGCCATGTTAGCCTGTTGTTAAGGCTACGGCCTGCGGAAATAAAAGAACGTGGGTTCGATTTCGCTATTTGACTAATGTTATTTACTACTTCAGCTTCTTATGGCTTTTCTTGATAGAGTTCGGCTAAATGTCAAGTCAGTCCTGTGACAAGTTGGGAGCGTCTGCTGCATTCAAGAGTACCGAACAATGGAGCGGTTCTTTTGAATTTTGAAAAAACAGACGTACATGCGTAGATTATTCAGGGCGTGCGAAGCAAGCCCTGCACTATTTCACAATCTATGCATTTTTGTGGTACACTTTACTGAGAACCTATCACATATTCAGGTTTGCGCTTTCACATAGTATTTTTGATTCATGTCTAGATGTGTTATCAATCATAAAAATATTATTCTATCCTAATTTTCAAAAAAATAGAAGATATAACAATTTTCATTAATTAGATTTTTATAGTATTACTAACGTCGTCTGTAAGAAAACTAAATAAATACATTGTAGTAGTATCACGTTAGATACGTAAACCGCGGCGCACACCTAAGCTACATGATTTCGACATGGCTTGTAGCATGATTCTGACGATACTCTGACGTGACCACGGGTGACACTGCTTGCGCCCACCTGAGCAACAATAGCATATCGCAGAATTCAGTTTGAGCCAAAATCTCGTCTGAAGAAGATAAACATTGCTATGCTACAGATTTCAAACATTCCAAGTGCCAGCAAAAGATTTCGGGTACATGCTTTGAGGAAAAAAATTGAAGTGGTGGTACTTTCAATGCTATGAAGGAATTAGAATTATATTTTGCATAGTCAAGTCACTATAAGTTGCAAAAAGTATCTTGCGAATTCCTGTTAATGTAATCGGGTCTAGAACAATCATATTGTATACATGGCCTTTCATGAAAAGAAAAAAAGCTAGGTCGTCTTTCATTTTGTATAGACAAGTCACTGCAAGTTACGTGTTACGCGCCACTTCAATGCGTCACTAGTAGCAAGCTGAATGGCACGTCAGGTCATGCAGCATCACGCCACGCTAATGGGCGCTACTACATACAATATCTTTGAATGTCGAGGCGAGTGACAAGTTACGCGTCAAATCACGCGTCAGATCACGCGTTACGTTACTTAGGTGGGCGCCGCGCTTTAGATGGCGGGCGCTGATTATGAATGGAGCATAACTTAAGGAAAAAATATCGGATAACCTTTTAGGCTCCGACATAGTTTTGGGCCAACTTAGTCAGATCTAGGGTCTGGCCAAGGTCAATAATATATGTTTTGCAGAATAATTATTTTTTAAATTTTATTTATAAGAATTCGCGAGACCTTACAAAGTTGTACTTTTAGTTCTTATATATTTATATTTTTAAGACGCGCGCCTAACGCCTATCATGCTTAGCACGGCGGACGCCCTTAATGATATTTATATTTTGAGAGTTCTCTACTTTGTGAGACAATGCACAATCGGCCTGCTTTCGTTATTTAGCGGAATACAGGTGAGGTTAACATTTTCAGAAGTTACAGTGTAATATAACTAGAGGCTACTATGATATCCTTCTATACACAAAAACTTAAAGAATAAAAAAAAACATTTATTCACAATATACATTTTAATGTCACAATTATTTTCAAAACTATAAAGTTAATAGAATTCACTTGTAAATAACAATAAAATATCGCTTACGTGTATATTTACACCATAATAAAATTAAAATAAACTTTATTGTGTTACATTATTGTTGTGTACCTTCAAAGGTTCAATTTATTTAATTATATTATAATACTATAAATTATAATAAATAGAAATTATAGCAAGGCTTTCTTAAAACTCATAATATTTCAATCTACCGTCAAGGAGGGCTAATAATATTCCGCTCACCAGATGTCGCTGTAACACCATTTAGGACTGAGGTGAGGTTATTTGTTACACAATGTCATTAAAATTTTTGTACCATAACAGACAAACACAAAAACATTTTTTACTAATTTTTAATTTTTTCAATTTTAGGTATATATTCCTAGTTAGACTTATCCATTCCTAACCTATAATCTATTAATATAAATTATAGCTAATATTTCAGAAAATAATATTAACGCTTCCATTTTTCTAACAAATTAACTGTTCTTTCCATGAAAACTGTCAAATACGAGTATATCACCTCATTCGTAAGTGGTGCCGCCTTAAATAAGAAGCTAGCGCCTACAAAAATGAGTATAGCAAAATTAATGTTAAAGATATTTTGTTGCTGTTTTTGTTCAGGTGCTTTTTCAATATTGCAGTTTCACTCACTCGCTGTCTTTAGCACCATTACTTTCGGAATAAAAAAAATCCAAGCATATTTCATTTGCTTCCTACAATAAAACAATGAGGTGCGGTTACAAATAAATTCAGAAACAAAACCAAAATAGAAATTTGGAATATAGAGACGAGGTTGTTTGATATTCATAATTTTCACTAGATGGAGTGACGACCTGGTATGAGATGCAGGAAGTCGATGGATGCAGGTGGCTCAAGGTCCTTTGTGTTATTTTTCAAAGTCATGGGGCTGTAATGATGATTACTTTTAAATAATGAAATTATATAAATATATTTAAATTTAAATGAGAATTATTTTTTTCACAGACATCGGTTTAATAACACTACCTCATCTTTATCATAACAGTCCTTCACAAGTTTCATTGCAAGTTATAAAGAACTTTATGCTTTTAGAATAAGGCTCAATATAATACTGTAATTTTTAATAATTATTAAAATTTTATAATCTATGAAATTAAATAGCAAGTATTACATATTATGTAATATTAAATGAGTTTTAACACTTTCACTGTCCGGTTTCCAGACACAATAGCAAAGACCTATATGTAGTGCACGGGACAGCGAAAGGGTTAAATATGTGATTTATAATTAAAAAAAATAATTATTATCTATTACTTGTAATATGAAAGAGAAAGGAAATATGTAGCCATTATACGTCTTGCTTGCCTAAAACTTTAAAGATACAAGTGTTAGCAGCACAGTTATATTTTAACTTTCAGATATTCAATCAGACTTCTATGTACACCACTGGACGAGCTCTGCAACCTTAATACATTGCGCACTAATTTACGGTCATGTCTTCGTAACTCTAACACGAATGTGTCGCTCTTATAATGATATGGTTTTGATACAGGTAGGGATGCTGACATCTTCGATAATAACATGAATAAATTTCGCACTAGACTGTTTAACGACTTCAAGTCAACTCCACATTACTTTTTTATTGTTTAGAATTATATCTACAAAAAACTTTTACTAACTTGTCATAAAATTGTTAAACTAAGTTTTAAACGACTTCAAAAAGAAGGTGGTTCTCAATTCGAGTATGTTTTTTTTTGTATGTATGATGTTACGCAATATCTTCGCAGATTGTGAACCGATTCTAATGATTCTTTTTTTTATTAAAAAAGACTTTACCTCAAGGATGGTCCCATTAAATTTTGAAGAAACATTCCGCCATTTTTTTACATATTTTTAACTTTTACTGGGTGAACCGATTTCAATGATTCTTTTTTATTTGAAAGCTGGTGCTTCACATGGTCCCATATAAATTTGATCAAGGTCTGACTAATAGTTTTTGAGTTATTTTTAATAATTTATATTGAAGTCAGTTGCACTAAATTTTTAATTTTAAATTATTTATTGTATAGAAGTGTTGGTCTAGAAATATACATAGAAGTCTTTGTATAGTGCATTGAGGCAATCAGGAAAATGGCTATATTTCCGATTTATATTAATTTCTACCAAACACATCGACATAATATATTTATTAGCAACATTTCATTATATGCCCTCATATCAAGGTCATATCCGATGGATTTCAGTAAATACAGGGTTATTTTTCAAACAGTAGCCAAATTTTAAACTTAAGTTCACATATATAAATAATGATACACTGTTATGACCGTATGAGGAAGCTCAAGGTCGCTCAGAG